TGCAGAAGTAGCTCCCGAAGGTTCCGAAAAATTCTAAAAGAAAAGAAAGATTGCACGGCTAATCTAATGATACACCAAAACTTTCATTAGTTTAAATTGAAAGACTAAATGCTATTAATTAAAAAGTTTCCATTCGCTGAAGTTGGGATGAAGATATAAAGTTTTTACCATTCGGAAGTTTGTTTTCAGTGTCTGTACGCTTAGTTGGCTTGCACTTGAACGAGATCATTCTTAGTGCGCGAATGTTTGAAATCTGTTCATTGTAGTTTGCTCTGTCTGCGTTAGTTTCGAGATATTCCAAGGATACCGACTGTTAAGAGGAATTCATTGAAGCGTAAGACTGATGTTCAGGGAGATGAGAAATTCAGAACAACAGAAGTGAATTGAAATACGGCGATTCCTAAACTTTTGAAGTCATGGAATACCTAAAGTGGGGCATCTACACTGAAAACCAAATGGGATCTTTTGAAATGCAAAAGAGCGGGGATACAGTCCCCCTAAATGACGTCACGAGAAATCGGCTTTTCCTAAACAACTGACATAACAGTGTCGTTGGAAAACAACCCTCTAGAGCGCGAGAGATGCATTAGTCCTTTAGGGGCATGTGTGTATAGGATATATCGCAGGACTTTTATGTAATTTCGAAAACATTGCCTTGCAAGCCTTTATTTAACCTCACCTGTTAGTATGTACCAGGGTGGTCTCAGAAGTTTAACAAAGATATAAGAAATTCTTTCCGATTTTTTTTTTTTATTTTTCAAAATAGTCAAGCACCATTTGGTAAACTTTGCCGATGTTTTCGTCCGTAGTTGCAGTTTATGGACGTCCCGAAGGTTGATCGTCTCCCAAGCACTTACGGTCACGTTTAAATTCAGCTGCCCAAAATTTCACTGTGGTAAATGATGATGCAGAGTCCCCATACACAGAATCCAACTCATATTTGATTTGCGTGGGCGTATTGCCTTTCAAAAACAAATATTTAATGACAGCTCAATACTCGTTTTTGTCCATTTTCACAAAAACACTCACATCAACTTTGGTGAGTAACTGTCAACAGATGATCAGCGAAATTGACTAGCTTTTATTTACGAGTGCTGCCATCTTCACGTTGAGGTCGGAAACTATTCAGACCACCCTCGTATGAGACAACTCTTGAAACTTGATTTTGCACCAATTAACTGTAAAAAACTGTTAACGTCAAAATAACAGCTTTTGTTTAAAAATGTCACCCTATATAATCATTTGTAGATCTCATTTCACTTCGAGGATGAGTAGACGATTATGTCTTCAAGATAGCAATCGACTCTCTGTCTTTTAATGTGCGGCTTGTGCCCGTCTTCTGTCATCAGGAACATTCATAATTTTTTCGAAACACAACGCTTCCAACACAGCCCTAATGGAAAACAGAACTTTTATGCATTTGGCTATAAGGCAAGAAGTCGCACTAATAATGAGGGGCGGTGTTTCAAATCTAATAATGAACATCCAAATTATGTGTTTATAAAAATAGTCATTTTTGAATTATCCTTGAGGTACGACAGTATTCTCAAAAAATGAATTTAGTTTGCGGAAATGCGATGTAAGTGTATTTTAGCGACTCTGTTGTCACCAAATCTTCTCTCTCGAAATGTAAGAATATTGTAGCATTTCAATCGAAATTAATCACCAAACATGACTTAGGTTATTGCACCAAGCACTTCAATTTAAAAAACATATCAACTTTAAAAACATGAACGTTGTAGCTCTGTAAGTGATCGATTCTGGTGATAGATGGCGCTTTGTGCAACCTTATTTTGATAGGTCTGTACCTCGGACAGAAGAAAGATACTTAGATCATGCTGACTAGATGCCAAAAAGCATGAAACAGCTGTCCATGGATTGCTGTTCGGCCATTAAACTTCTAGTAGGACCTTTATGGGGAAATTTTGCCTCCTCCAGCTGTTCAAAAACTTTTGTAGGCTCATACCATGGCATCCTTTGTCGGAACTAGTTTTGGCTTATCAAAGATATTTGGGGGCACATCCGTGTTCATGTACTGGACCTTCTGAAAAATCCTGCTGGCGCCCATGATAATAGATAGGAACGTTGTCAAATAGTTGGTGACACCAAGATCAGCGGGACCGACACTTATAGTGTATTTACACCCAAGATAGAATGGATGCGGGATTGCCAAAAGCAAGGACGGCGTACAGGGCCGCATTCACGGCTACCTCCGAATGATGGACTACCACCAACGTGTTGTAAAACAAAGATGACAGTATTCAACAGAAACAGAAACTCAACAAATTACTCAAATACACTTAACAACAGCAACAGCAACAACCAAGCAAGGTGAATACGAAAACCCGAGCACGCAGTGATACACGCGACGGACGGTGGCCTGAGTGCAACTCTGCCTGCCCTGCCCCTGCCCCGCGCATTATTCCGCCAGGCGGCCGCTTGAAATTTGATGGCGAATTGACCAATAAGAGGCGTTGTCCCCACCTGTTACCGAGAGATCACGCGCTAACTGTTATTATTTACACCTCATCTTGAATTTGGATTCAGTTTAGAATCGCATTTGTAGGATGTCGGTCTGGCCCTTCTTTTGGTATACGTGCGAAACTGGTTACGACTTCTCATCTGTTTTATTGCGTAACTTGTTCCACAAATTGTATTGTTCGATTTTTTACCTTCTGGTAAATACTTCTACCCCTGCTAAAAACCCTTCTCACTGACGTTTTCCAAAGATTAAGCCCGCTACAATGCCTTATGGCGTCAATAACGGTTTAATCAGGTCTGCTCAAAGTTTAAAATATAGATTTATGGGGTTAAAATAACCTTCGGTAAATCTTTTGTAATTTATAAGGGTGGCGTGTAGCTGCCCCCCGTTCTTGTTTCATCCTGAACTAATAAATATAGAAAAATCCTCGGGGGTAGATAAAGGAAAATTGACTGCCTTGCAAGATAAAGTAATCCAGAAGCAGTGTAAAAAATGATACTCGTTCAGAGAAGATATGGCGTGCGGGAAAAAAGGAAAATGGGATTTAAATTTCATTTTACTTTTGGCTTGTAATATTTCGGAAAGATAATAGATCTTTTACATAGTGCAACCTTGAAACCGTATGCTGTTTTGCCTCTTTTTCCTTCATCTATCTGTGGCATTTATGGCAGAAGGGTCTACGTAAATCAAAAGTGTTTTCCAAGGTCTAGTAGTGGATGGCTTAAATTTTATTTCAGACACTTGACAACCCGAAAAATAATAATTTTACATAAGTTGTCAAACATTGAAAGTGTCCATTTTTCAGGGTTCTGCCGACATTAAATCGCGTCTAACTCGAAGAAGTCAACTTCAGATAAAACGTTATTAGGGACTTTTTTGTTCAGAAAATCTGAAAAACATAAAAGACTGTTCGAAGATAAGGAGGAGTTGAGTGCTGCGTGAAGCATGAAGCTCCAGTTGTAAGGAGCTTTTAATAAAACATTGTTACGTCTTTCCTACAGAGTTTTAACTGCTCAAACTTTCAAAGAAAAAGTTGCCCGAGAGTTTTCAGGTTGGCGTGTCTCCTAGAAGACTATTAAATTTCTTCATATATTAGTTTAAAGGAATATAAAATGTCTTTTTGCATTACACCTTTATAAATCCTTTCCAAATTGAGCTGTTATTCAATCAAAATATGAAACAAGAAATAAGGCAATCGACTAAAAAAATGCAAAGTCTGATCAGCAATGGAATACACGTATACATTGAGAACCAAATTTGTCTGAATGCTTGAGTTCAATGTGCACGACAGAGATGTCATACATACTATATTGTTAAAAGGAGATACAAGCCGGCTGGATAGCGATGCTCATCACCGCGTTGTCTAGCAACGCTGACGCAGTAATCTGTAACACCAATTCCTTGAATTAAGATGGATGTTGAAAACGTGCGTTAATTCATTCTTTATGTCCAAATAATGGTTTTATTTTGAGCGTATACATTTTTTAATTGTGTCGAATCTGTTTAGAATCGACTCCGGGTCGATCATAGATGAGCGATTGTGGTTAGTACCCATCTAGCACTCATTGGGGAGTGTCGTCCTGTTTCGAAATGGTTTTCACCTGCGTAGATGCAGGCAGTGATTATTTTTATTGTATAATAGTATTTGTTACATTTTCCGACCTCTCGCTATCGCAAAATGTAATAATAAGTCAGGACGTGTTGATTTTGTCACCATCGGTGAATATCAAAGATAATTCTGAAATAAAAAACATTCAGTTGCGTCAAAATTTAAATAAATAATTCAAAACAAAATGAAAACAAAGTATTAAATTAAATGTTCGAACAGAATTCCCTCTTGGGTTTGCCAGTAACCTAACCTATTGTAGAAGCCTGTGCGAACATTTTCTGCTTGAATTAGTTTCTAACATGTGTTGATACACACTTCTCGCGCTTCTATCTCGCACTCACTGGCACCTTTGGTTTTTCCTGTATGAATGTTATAAAAATGTTACCTAAGATCTTATATAAATGTTCATATTGCTGAGCAACAAAAGAAAGATTTAAGTTGGAAAAAAGCATTTATTTGATCTTATTATCTGTACAATACGCACTATGCGTATTAATAAGATTTTCGATTTTTGTAGTATCAATTTAACACCCTCATCTCAAAAGTTAAGGAGTTTAGGACGTAGATTCATATTAAAAAGTTTTCTTCTTAAAATTGACCCAAAAATTGACATCTTGAATATTCTCACTCAATTAGGAAACACCCTGGTATACTTAACTATATTTTCTTACGATAACTATTCTATTATTTTAGTTTAGTTTGAAACATAATCGCGGAAACTATCTTTAAGCACCATTTTTAGAAGCGCTTTCACATTAGCAGTAGCAATTTCGTGCGTTTGAATCACCGTATTATCTTTTTTTTTCATACAGTCGGTTCGGTCCTTTAATTTTAGCAAAAATAAAGTATTTGTCTGGAGTAATTGACAACTTTCTTATTTTATATTGGGAGCTACTATTTTAAATATATCGGACACCCCAGGTATACAATAGCGTTACGGATAGCCGCGGCCATCTTAGGCTTGACGCCTCGATGTTCCATGTCATAAATTGTCAGTTTTGACACGTCAAACCGTCAATCACTTAACCTAGAAATTTTTGTAGGTTAAGCTGTTGCAAAAAATGAGTTTATTTTGAATTTGAAATAACTGCAAATTAAATTTATTCAGTATTATGTACAGATACATTGGTTTTACATCTTGTATTTAAAGTCTCGTGGTGTTTTAATTCACCAAATTCTTCCTTATATTATTTCTTACGGGTAACTTAAGTTTTCTGATGTAAGTATATTGAATATTACCACGCACTCGCATGATGTAACATAATACCCTCATATTTATGTATTGAACTTATATGGTTTTGCAGAGATTTATGTCACTATGCCTTCTACAACAAAGGATCTGGCTTCACCTACAGAGATGAAGCTGACATCAGCTATGAATGGAGAAATTGACACTGATACTGATAATGGAAAAGTCAAAATGAAGAAACATATGGGCCTACTCGAAGGGGTGGCTATCATTTTAGGAATCATATTTGGGTCAGGTATTCTCAACAAATTCTACTGCTTATAATTGGTTAAAAATACATGAGCGATGTTTAAAACTCAAATAAAAGATAAGGCAACAATAAGCAAGGCCTGGCGTCTTTGGATTAATGGTCATTAATTATCCCAAATGAAGACTCTGATCTTTTAGGGGCTGTAATTGACAATTCTGTAGAAGTGGCTGGCTTCTTGTGTAGGCTGCTACTCTTAAATACAATATACTGCTATGATGACTATTACAAAAATTACGATATAAAATATACAGTTTATAATTCAGTATAGCCTAGTCTACTTTCAAAACTCAAACAAATCACTCATATTATTGGTAAACCTAATTTTCATTAGTGTATTTATTATGAACATATGGAATATATTTTATTAATTTTTCAAACTTTGTATGCTATGAAACACTATATATCATATTCCATTAAATTTCAAGACTATTTAAAATAGCTGAACTGTAATTGTGCAATGGTTTTCATATTTACATGTTTGTTATTATTGGTTTGTTTATTTTGGTATTAATCAACAAACATTTTTGCTGAACATATACTCTAAAATGCATTTGTGCAATATTTCAGACAGTATATATATACTATTATTGTATGAATGTATAAACATTTTGGTGTTACATGTTTTCACTTACTGTTATTGCAAAGTATTTGTAAAATATGGTTTTGAACCAGATATATAAGAAATATCAAGAAATAAAATGTAACATGTTATATTGGTTGTTAATTTTTCTGCTTTTGACACTAAGAGTTTATTTTCTCTGTTTTGATGTATTTTGGGGGAACTGCCAAATTATCAATGTTTTTGTATAGTGTTCAATACAAAATAGTATATTTTGAGACATCCCAGATTAATGCAAGGATGTTTGAACATATGTATGTGTATTATTTGCCTCATGTTTTTTCATTTATTTACTTATGTTTCTAACCAATTAAAACTGCCATAATTTGCCAACTTTTCATGTTCTAGGAATTTTTATATCTCCAAAAGGTATAATAGAAGAAACAAACTCAGTGGGTCTATCCTTAGTAGTATGGGTACTATGTGGTTTGCTCTCTATGATTGGAGCATTGTGCTATGCAGAATTAGGTACTTCAATACCAAAGTCTGGTGGAGACTATGCATACATCAATGAAGCATTTGGTGCTTTGCCTTCTTTCTTGTACCTGTGGGCTGCAAATATCATATTTGTGTATGTAAAATCTGTTTTGATTACTGTCTAATCCCTTGTCAGTGTTTCCCTAGATGGTCACGATTGGGGTACTAGGGGAGTTGCTGGGTATTCCCAAAATATGACAAAAACACCACTTGTATGTATTCTTGTATGAATGACTTAAATGAAGATAACAGAAAATTATCAAATAAAGCATATAACCAAATATTAAGTCTAGTGGGAGAGATGAAAATTATCAAAATGTGCTGGACTTTTTTTTTATTTATTGTATTAAGTTAAAGCTTAAATAGTAGTAAAGTAGTGTAAAATGGTATAATTCATCAGTTACTTTTAAATTAGGCGCGCAATTTTCGTTTGGAAGGCAAATAGGTGGAAGGAGGTGGTCATGAAGAATGTTTTTAACAAAGAAGGGTTGCGCTTTGGATAAGCTTGGGAAACACTGTCTTGCATCATTTCCTCAATATATTTTTCAACTAAAGCAGGGAATTATTTCTTGCTTTTTCATCATTAACTATCTTTTCTATTTTTTCATATAGACCAACAACAAATGCTATAATGGGTCTAACATTTGCCAAATATGTAATCCAGCCCTTTTTTCCACAATGTGTGATGCCTGATTTTGGTGTCAGATTAGTTGCAGCGTGTGTAATTTGTGAGTATTTTACCATATGTATTACATTTGTACAGCAGACTCCATAACACTTATCTATCCAAAAAACTGACCTCGCTCAAATGTAGTTCGTATGAAAGTCCATGGTCAATATACATATAATCTCATTCAGTTGTTTTTTGGAAAAATTTCGAAAGAAACTCCAAGGGTGAAGTACCTGTCTGCAATATACAGGGTGACTTTGAAGTTGAGTCATTAATTTTCAGATAATGATTGTAGAAGGAAGATAAACCAAAATATGTGTGTAAAAATAAAAAAAAAATGTTTACCTTGTTTTATAAAGTATCCTCCCGACAAGTATTTCAGTGCGGACCTGTATTATATCGTGAGGTCCCCTGTGAGGTCTTAAGTCACCTGATTCACGAGCCCGTTGTACTACATTAACAAAGGCACTAGGGGTTGGTTGTACTCGATTGGGTAACCGATCCGCATAAACTTTTGCCATTTTTTATTTCGTTTGAGCCACGCAACAGATACCACTATTCACTGACACTGACTGTATACAAATGAATGAAATAATTGTAAAAAGCATCGTTCCAAATTCTTTCGCTTTTTTGTTTCCGATGCGATGAACCGATACGGCGGATTATATCCGTTGTCGCCAAACACGACCACATAATATTATTATTGAGACAGGGCGGTACTCAAACTTCCAAAGGGCTATAACTTTGTTACTTTAATTTTACCAGGAAAATGGTAAAGGAAAAAAACTTTTCTTTTGATCAGATCTACTCACTGTTAAAATAAATGACTCAACTTCGAAGTCACCCTGTATATATGCTCGACCAGAGTCATTTCCATGACAACATATGGAATTTATGAAAACATAAGCCATAAGGGTTCCAAGATGTTCTCTGCAAGAATGGCTCTTTTCACAACGTTTAGCAGAATATATGAAATATATTTTTTTATAAATTATGTATCTTGTCTGTATGTATGTTTTCAATTACAATCCATATTACATTTCCAGGTTTTCTGTCTTTTCTGAATGGGTTCAACGTAAAGGCGACTGTTAGGTTACAAAATGTGTTCATGTTTTGTAAAATTGGCGCTTTGGTGCTGATAATTCTCATTGGAGTAGTTTGGATGGGTATGGGGAATGTAGAGCATTTTCAGAACTCATTTGCAGATTCAAATACAAATCCTGGAAAGATAGCTAAGGCTTTCTATTCAGGAATATTTTCTTATTCTGGATGGTAAGATGTTTTGTATGCATTTTATCACATCAAGAACTCATATTACTCTGTTCCTTTTTTATCTGTAGTGATGAAAGTGCAATTACAGGAAATAACTGAATATGCTCTGCTTTTTGTGTTGCAGGAGCTATCTGAACTTCATGACAGAAGAGCTGAAAAATCCATTTGTGTGAGTATAATTGCGACATCGGATATGTATATAAAATAACTAATACGAATCTTGTTTCCAGTAATTTACCGAGAGCGATATTTATTTCATTGCCTTTAGTTACTGGAATATACGTTTTGGCAAATATGGCGTATCTTTCAGCTCTAACTCCTGATGAGCTACTTTCTTCTGATGCTATTGCAGTGGTAAGCAGTTGCATTTTTTTTTAATATTCGATATTCCACAACAATACACAGATTGCAACAAAAAATTATCTGGTTCAGTGTTGTCCAACTTCTTTCAATCACAAAGGCAGCAAAATACAGGTGAAAGTATTTGGTAAATGCTCTTGATTCATAATGTAATAAAAACAAAACCCGTTTTATATTGTTTGTAATTTAGAATATGTATGTAGGATGAATGTCTTCAGCACGCGTTACACCCTCTGAGAAAAGTTAGTTACGAACATTTATAACAGAGAAAGTAAATGGATCAAGTCAGTCAAACAGGCCCTTACACTTAGCCCATAGACATTCTTTTCTTGCCCTACCCGGTGGTCCATCTGGCAACGTCGCTTTTTGTGTAAAAGTACGACGGAATGTTTTTTCGTGATATCACATAGAATCCAAAAAACCTAGTATCTAATTTTCAAAATTATTTGCGATTACAATACTTCCTCGCCAGTAAGCGTGGCAAATGAAAATAATGAGAAAATTGTGCCCTCTTTTCTACTACCATTGCAACATTCAACAAGATGCGATTCCAACAGTTTGGTTAGTAGCAAATTTCTGCCACTGTCAGATAATATGGATTTGGAAGGAGTTGCGGCTATTTTAATAATGCCGTATTTTCACAGTCATTTCAATTTTCAGACGTTCGGTAATGCTGTTTTGGGAAAATTTGCAGGGATTCTACCTGTAATGGTAGCAATTTCTGCGTTTGGAGGCTTGAGTGTCCACATAATGACCTCATCTAGAATGTTGTATGTGGGTGCCAGAAACGGTCATTTTCCCGCTATGTTAGGACACCTCAATCTAAACAATCTGACGCCTTTACCAAGCCTCGTTTTTCTGGTAAGTCTAAGTTCATCTTGCGACTCATTAACTTTTTCTCAGAACAATTGAATGTCAAACAGTACAAATGCTGATCACATAATAGTCGGATTTGGCAATTTTTAAGTGAACTAATTTATTTATCCCAAAATTTGTAAAGCAATAGGTAATCTGCATGTTCCAAGTTTGTGAATAGGGATGCTTCAGTTTTAATTTTGACAAAGTCGGACATATAACCTCTTATAATCTATTGTCCTTTATCAGAAAAGAACCTAAATTGAGCTGCAGTTGTTCCAAAAAGTTACTAAAAATGTGAGTCTAAGAATGGTCATGTGCAGAAACAATGAAGGGTACATTTGGAGCATATTATTTATAAATCATATCCCATATATGTATATACATTCTGATATATTATTTTTTAAGATAAGAACGATGATGTCTCTAGCTCTATTCATTCTTATTCCTTTCCAGAATGCTCTATCACTCATAATGCTTTGCACCAGCGACATACACGTGTTGATCCAATACTGCACCATTGTGGAATCTCTATTTGTGACACTGTCAGTGTCTGGCCTTCTCTACCTCCGATGGAAGAATCCGAAAATGGAACGGCCAATCAAAGTCAATATCGCCGTGCCTATTGTTTTTGTACTCATCTGTATCTTCCTTTTAGTACTGCCTGTCATCGAATCTCCGGATATAGTACTCGGTGGTTTAGGAATCACCCTTACTGGGATACCCGTGTATTTTTTGGGGATTTATTGGAAAGATAAGCCTAAGTGGTTCCAGAATTTTATGCGTAAGTTATTTTTGATATAACGAAGCTACTTCCATCTTCACCGATCGATTTTCACGTTCAAACTTGAAGTTTTCAGAATTTTAAATAACCGTCTATACTATGCTTTTGAAGTGATGAAATTGATTCACAAATAATATAATATTTTAACGTAAAAGTGGCAGTTGTAAATTTTAATTTTTTTTTAATGGGAAAAGGGGTCATGCGGTGTATATTATATTAACTGTCTTCTACAGGAAGGGTCTATCTCAGGTGCAATAAAATATGGAAGATTCCGATTAGAAAAAATGACGGAATTTAAAAGATTTTCTAGAGTTATAAAGTACTTATTTGGAGCTTCAAAATAAGTAATTTCACTTGAACCCTGATTCCATTTTAAAAAAATTTCAAGATAGCGTCTATCGATCATTTTGGAGTTTTCAACAATTTAGCTTGCCAACCTGACCTGTTCAAAAAGATGGGGGCCTTTTTCAAAAGCACTGTTTAAAATTAGGAATTATCATAGTCCTACTGAACTTTTATTTTTTTAGTGCCTACCATGAATGATCTTTTTATTACAGATAAAGCGATCGTTTTGTGTCAAAAAATCTTCCTGGCAGCGCATGAGGATACCGATTTTGAAGAATAATGTGTGTACATTATAGAGTTGTTTTCCTTTCATGGTTGTATACTTGTTACAATTCATGACTGAAGTATTATATTTGAAATATGGTACACATCATGTATTTTTTGAAGAAATTCACAATAAGTAATCTAATTGACATGAAACTGATAGGAGTACAGTTGATATCTTTAGAGCGATGTGTATTTTGCATTTACTAGCACTGCTAGGGACCAATTCTGTCTGAATTTCCAATACTATTATTTACAGAATCACTTAACGTTACATTGAGATGTTATTTAAATTAAGGATTAAAAATACGTGATGTGTACTAACCTAAGTTTTAATGTTTCTAAAACTGAACATTAATGTTACCAAAAAATATAAGTTGTTAGAAATATGATGTGATATGAACCCAAAAATCTAAAAAGTTCTCGAAATATTTCAGCATATTTGCTGCTTGTAACGCCTTAAACAATTTAAATTCTATACACTAACAATTGTTAGAATGTTGTGTCAAAATATGTGATGTTTTCATAAGTGTCAGAAGCGGTTACTATTCACAGCATGGACCCAGATTCTTGAAATGAGGGAGTAGTACTGTCATCTATCAGTGAACTGTATTCCTGAGCACTATTAGAACAGTCTCTCACCATGTCATTTTCAGGAGAAAATAAAAGCTTGTAAAAAGTGCGGAACTCTCTCCAGCAGCTCTACTAACCTTAGGCAATTCAAAAATCAGATTAACAAAATTTCTTTGGGATCATCATAGCAGCCGCGGTGTCCCGGCGTTTAGGCTTCTGCCAGCGCGGCTGCTTCGGTATAAAAAAAAATAAAGTTGTCGGAATTTAAGATCATTCCCAGAAAAGAGAACGACGCCCACTTTCTCTCACTGATTGTATTCCCACGTTCAAGAATAGGGATCCTGAAGTCAATACATATGAATAAGCATTAAGTTTGTCCTCCATATCTTACATAATAACTCTAATTTGCATTCATTTTGCCTTTTATTTATTTCTCATCTTGATTTAAAATTTCACTCGTTTTCATGTACACATTTTATTTATTGATCATCTTTCATTTTACATTTTGTATGTACTTAAGCAAAAATGATCTGTTTTCTGAAGTATTATTTTTATTTGACAATAAAGAATCATATTTTATTCCGTGTGAATTTCTCCTCACTTGAAACCAAAAATCAAATGCGTCACCACTAATAATCGAGATTGTATAAGTCAGTTTATTTGGCAACATTGGTCTGGCATGCCTAAAAATGACCAGGAACTCAAAGAAAAACGAACGTTTTGGAATTTTTCTGTTTTTTGTCATGATTCCCCCGCCACAGCGCGATTTTTCGAAACTTTATATATATACAGGGTGACAGGAAATTAGTGGCGGAGCCGGTAAGGGGGATAGTATAGGGTAATTAGAGCCGATATTACTATGAGACTCACTGTCCCACAGTAACCTATTCCAAGATATTCGTACTCAAAGAATTTTACCAAAAAGTTCTACTTAAAATTTTAAAATAGGTATACATCTTAAAAAATGGCTTTTCGGCCAATTTTTTTTTTTTTGTTTTACAACAAAGATATTCTGAATAAGGAATACTAATAGTTTAATCCTGGTAATTGTCGTAATTTTCTGCGATAATTGCTAAATAAAAACTTAAATGAAAAAAAAAACACGGTGACGGCTTCTAAAACGTGGATTTACTCAAAAAAGTAACCTATAATTGTTACGTACAAAATAATTAAAAAACATCTACGTTTCGTTGCCTGTCGAATACGGTATTAAAATCTAAAATTGGTTCAGGGACCATCAAGATAGACGAATAATAAAAATGAAAGAAAAAAGCTGAATGCTGAAAAATCAATTTATTACAAAAAACATTCTTATTCATAATGCGTTTTCAAAATGCCCACCCCTATTTCTAATACAAATTCGTGCTCTTCTCAGGACACCCGTTTTCACAACCCTTGAATCTCGAAGCTCCGTTTGTATTTCCTGCGCTGCGTGAATGATTCTGTTGCGCAGGTCTTCAATATTAGGTACAGGGACATCAGTACCATACATGATACTTTTCATTCGACCCCACACGAAGAAGTCCATGGGTGTGATGTCGGGACTACGTGCCGGCCATGGTATTGGACCACCTCTACCTATCCAGCGTTTGGGGAAGTGTTCGTCAAGCCAATTTCTCACAGCTAGCCTGAAATGCGCTGGACAGCCATCATGCATGAAGGTCATGTGTTGTCTTGTTTGTAGCGGCACGTCTTCCAACAATTCATGCAAAATATTCCGGAGAAAATCTTCATATGCTTCCCCATTAAGGTTTTGAGGCAGGAAATGAGGTCCAATCAAACGGTTATTGATTATTCCCATCCACACATTAAGGTTAAATCTTCTTTGTGAACCTTTTGGTCTTTTTAGGTGTGGATTACCCATGACACGTTCTCTCCAGTAGTGAACATTATGGTAATTGGTAATACCGTCCTTATCAAACTTGGACTCATCAGTCCATAAGATCGTTCTCAGATAATTCCTATCTTCAACATCCGCATTGATTAAAAATCTGCAAAACTGGATTCGTCTCAAAGGATCCCCTTCTTCTATTACCTGAACAGGTGTGTAATGGTAAGGGTGGAGCCCACTTTCATGAAGAAGGTACCACACCTTCCATTGGGAGAGTCCCATAAGCCGAGCTACTATTCGTGTAGATAGAGTAGAGTCCCTTGCGAAGTAATTTAAAATTTCCTCTTCGTCTCCCGCGGCATACAGTCGAGGTCTACCTGCGTCACCTGAAAACAAAAAAGATTTGTTTTTATAAGTTTTAGTACAATGACTTCTGTTGATTTTTATGGTGCTAATTACGTAGCCGTTAATATTAGTCAAACTAAAAGCAATTATAGCATCAAAGACTCGCTGTCCGCGTGGTAATAAAATGTGGAAACAGGACGCCCTCTGTTGGGTTGTCTGTCGCACTTACGGGTCTTACGGCAGGTAGTGAGGCACCACTGACGTATCGGTGTTTATCTTATGAAAAAAGCTAGCCTATCGAGCCCTGGCATACCGATAATTTATGGGTTTAACTTTAGTAAGTTGTATGGACAGCGACATTTGTTTTACAATCCCACAATTAAAAGGGTACTTGCAAGGATAACAAAAAACTGATAGGAAAGGTTTAGTTTTATTTAGTTTGAAACGGATTTGATAAAGAATTTTGTGTAAACAAAATAATAATAATAATGGCTGTTCCTTACCTTGGTATCTTTGGACGGTTCCTCGCTCTCGCACTCGACGGAATGTTCGGGAGAATACGCGTGCATCAGGCAATCGACGATAAGGGAATATTTCGGCATATTATCGACGAGCTTGTTCTGCGTTTCCTCTGGCAGCTCCGTAATAAAAAATAATATCGGCGTATTCGTCGATACTGAACGATCGTCTTCTTTCTCTAACAGCCATTATTAGTCAGCTAGTCCACACTCAGTCACTCAGCAGCCAAATCGTAAGGAAAAATCAAAGTCGTGAAAATATCAAATCTGAGAGCAAGCGAGCATTCCGAACACCGTAAGAGCGGACTGAAAGGAGGAAGGGATTAGCTCGACTGCCCAACGACCGCGTCCTTTTTTTTTCTCGGAATAGGCTCTATGGGTTTTTCCATTGATCATATCTTCATCGTTTCTAAACCGATTTTGGATTTTAATAGCTCATTCGAAAGGCAACGAAACGTAGATGTTTTTTCATTATTTTGTACGTAAAAATTATAGGTGACTTTTTTGAGTAAATCCACGTTTTAGCAGCCGTCACCGTGTTTTTTTTTCATTTTAGTTTTTATTTAGCAATTATCGCAGAAAATTACGACAATTACCAGGATTCAACTATTCGTATTCGTTATTTAGAATATCTGTGTTGTGAAACAAAAAAAAAATTGGCCGAAAAGACATTTTTTTAAGATGTATACCTATTTTAAGATTTTAAGTAGGATTTTTTGATAAAATTCTTCAAGTACGAATATCTTGGAATGGGTTACTGTGGGATAGTAGGTCTCATAGTAATATCGGCTCTAATTACCCTATACTATCACCCCTTACCGACTCCGCCACTGATTTCCAGGTCACCCTGTATATATATATACTTCGAAGTTGAGTCATTTATTTTAACAGTGAGTAGATCTGATCAAAAGAAATGTTTTTTCCTTTAACATTTTTCTGGTAAAATTAAAATAACAAAGTTATAGCCCTTTAGAAGTTTGAGTTTCGCCCTGTCTCAATAATAATATTATGTGCTCGTGTTTGGCGACAACGGATATAATCCGCGTTATCGGTTCATCGCATCGGAAACAAAAAAGCGAAAGAATTTGAAACGTTTATCACGATGTTTTTCGTCAGTCGGTAACGCGTGAGTGAATAGTGGTGTTTGTTGCGTGGCTCAAACGAAATAAAAAATGGCACATGTTTACGAAAATGCTGAACTTGTCGACATGATTCTTATTTACGGGGAGTCTTTACAAAATGCTGCCTCGGCATCACGGATTTGTGCGAATCGGGTGCAACCAACCCCTCGTGCCTTTGTTAATATAGTACAAAGGGCTCGTGAATCAGGAGACTTAAGACCTTACAGCTGCCGGTGCTCCAAGACCGCACAATCAAATACAGGTCCGTACTGAAATACTTGTCGGGAGGATACTTCATAAAACAAGGTAACATTTTTTTTTAAGGTTTTTTTATTTTTACACACATATTTTGGTTTATCTTCCTTCTACAATCATTATCTGAAAATTAATGACTCAACTTCATATATATGTACATAAATAATTAAAATACGTATTAAAACCAATTACACTTTATTCAATACAAATCAATGAGGCCCATTGTTGTCAATCTGAAGACTATTAGATTCGCGATTTTTCGACTGTGACAAGAACGCCAAATGCCCTTTAGGACACCTGTTGGCATAATGACCTTTGGTGCCGCATTTGTAGCAGGTAACATCCTCCAACTTTTTGGGCATGAGTTTTTGGTGCAAAAATGAGCCACCTTGGCCCTCATTCTCACCAGGATGTCTGTCTTCTTGGATAAATTGCACCTGAAAAAATGAATCCAAGTAGTTTAAACCACCTAAAATATGGCTTCAAGTAGGTTGACTTTGCATTTCCCATGCAATATTCATGAGAAAAAAGTTAGCTATGAACATGAAATTAAACGGATCAAGTCAGTCAAACAAGCTCATACAAATAGTCCATAGATGCATTTCCCTGTCCTAGCGACATTATGGACCATCTGGCAACGTTGCTTCGACTAACTTTGGAAGCCAGTACCGACCGGCCTCGAAGCCGACAAGAGTATTGTGTTGCCTATATTAACGTCTGTCAGAGTCAGAAAATATACATCATTTTATGAAAATGAAATGAAGGGTTGCCAATGTTTTTGTATTTATTTAAGTAGTAATATTTCTGGTTGAAATTGAATGTAACGCATGAATACTGTCTTCCAAAAAAAAGAAGGGTTATGTGGTCTGGTTTTGAGGAATTACCGAATTTTGGATCAAAATGCAACCTCAACGTATAAGTTAATAAGACGTCTCAAAACAAAACAACCGAGTTTCCAGACAGTGTCTGTACTGTTACCACGTTGTCAGTTCGCAGTTCAGTTGCAGACACGCTTTGCACAATTGAACGAGTCTTCCGGAACAAAAGAGTCGTTCAAGCATCGCTCACTTAGATGAGTCGTTCATTTTGAACGACTCGTTCGCGAACGACACATGACTACCGACTACTATAGGTGCAGATAATTAGAAGATTTGGAAGCGTAAAAATATACTACCGCCAGAAAATTCGGATATACCATTCCCCATCTTTAACCAATTCAAAAACTTTTCTGAAAATGATAAGGAGTATCTGTAACGACACAAACGTGGCATTGGATCGATTTTCAAAACCTACAACGCCGTTTCGTCCCCGCTCATAGATAGTAACCTTGGATGAAAACTTCCATCAAAATCTGAGGTGATACATTCCAAGTCATAGATGGGCCAAGGATTAGCGGAAAGACAGTAGGACAATGCAATGAGAGACATGGTTCTTGTATTGTACATATCATCCAGTAAACATAGTATCTCATGTTCGTGATTACAATACTTCCTCTCCAGTTGCAATGGGAAGTAAACATCATACTTATGAAGGACGTAAGATCTTACCTTTGTGGGATCTACCATTTTGTTACAATGGATAGCTTTGTGTCCATGTTCTCCACAGAAATGACAAATAATAACAGGTTGTTTCTTTGGATCTTTCATATTCTGATCTGGTGGGGCAGGTAGTTCAAACCTTGGATGCATGTATTTACATCTGAAAATAAATATTATTTTCAAATTGCTTTCAAAGTTTGAATTTTCTATACTCACTTGGGTCCATCAGGGCAGAATCCCGCCAAATAATTTGTACAAAGCACTCTTCTGACATGCCTATGCCTACAGTGTGGACCATGTCTGCAGAATCCTCTATCATACCATGGACAATCTTTGATTTTACTTTCAGGATCGATGTGCAAGAATGGACACTCTTTATTGTGGCAGGCATTGAAACGTGAGTAAAAATAACACTCGGGCATTTTTGTCATGTCATATTCATGCAAGAATTCACATTGATCACCTTTTTTGCATAGACCTCGCAACCAATGCTTGCATACAATCGTACGGTCTCCACGCACATGCCTAAAAAAAAATAAAATAACATAGTTAAGGCTTTACATATTGTATTCAAAAAAGATTTTGTCAAGCCACTCTATGAGCATGTTATCTTTTTACAGTAAGTGAATGTTAAGCATCCAAAAGTTGAAGCAAACTTTGGTAAGAGAGAGCCTAAAATGCATTTTCATTTCCAATGTTGCCCTTTACCTTGCGTTACTATAGACTTATTGAGAGTAAGGAAGAGAAAAACTCTTCTGCTGGATTCATGGGCGCCCTTTGGGGAAAGGGGGAATGAGAAGACTCTCTAGTCTCAAGATTTGGCTTGAGAACTAAAATATACCAAATAGGGTACCCATTTCTTGAGCAAAATAGTGGTGTATGTCCCATAAAGAAACATATATACATTTTTTGTCCCATTATATAGAAAAGTTATCTGCTTAAACAAAGTTGCACAACTTTTAAGCTTCTTTATCAGGAAAAGGTAATATTCTTACCTAAAAGGACACTGAGGACCCTTCCCACATCCTACTGCTGCATAAAATTGACAAACAGCAGCTGTTGATTTATCCATTCCAGGGAATGGTAGTGGAAGAGCTCCATACTGTAAAAAATATTAATAAATAAAAATCCTTAATTAAAGCCCCATTTTATTATAATTTTATACTATAATATTCTCTTAGGCATTTTATTTCCTATATAAATTTATAAAACTTTTGAGCCATTTAGTGACAGCCAAGCAATTGCTTTTGGCATCGATTGAATTGTAGATTAAAATGTTCAGTGTTTTGTTAATATATGTTATTGCTTGTTATATATTAAAATAACCTCCTGGACACATTTGACACATATCCACAGCAGCAAAATGATAAAACCATGTGTAGCTATATTGTTATACATTGCTGCTGACTGATGTTCAAGAAAGTAATGATATTTGACTGATCTGATAAAATATAATTGAAATGAATTATTTTGGAAATTATTACCTGTTCTTCTAGTGCCCTTTCTATATCAAAAACAAGGTGATCAACATTTGCAACCAGGCACTCCATTGCTGTAAATTTTTGTAGAGCCTTTGAATTCTGCACTATAGGTACCTTAGCAGATACCAGCGATTCCTAGAAGGCATAGCCACCGTAAATCATGTAATTTTAATGAATTTCAATAACAATATATTCCAATTTTTTATTTATCTCTACCTTTCAAGATTCCTGAATTCTCACAAAGGATTATCCCCTCAAATTGCTCCTTCGAAACACAGCATATTTAAAGGTTATGAATGATAGTTTAATTGGTGCGAGTAAAGATAACATTGGCACGCAAACTCGCAAACAACTGTTGAAAGGTATTCTACTAGACTCTAGAAGACTATCCGTAGCGAAATTTTTGCCGAAATCCTTGCACAACACAACAAAATGAGTCTTTGAGGTTCTTATAAATGAAAATGACTCCGTCGCCGTCGATATATGCTTCAAGCTCCGTCGGTACCCCGGGATAGACATCCGTCTTGACAGATAACCTTGTCATTCTTGCCACCTGGATTCCGGCGTTGCCAGCTGATCGGACTATTTTGCTACCTCTTCTATTTTGATAAAATGTTATAAAAAAGACGTTTTGTATTGAGGAATACCAGTGAAGATGTATAAAATTTGAGACGTAGCTATGTTTGCCAAAAAACTAAACAAAAGCTGTTATTTACACTTTGAGTCCCACGGCGTCTATGCGGCGGAACATTTTTTAAATGCCCAGTTTTATAGTATAAAATACATTTGAATACGAGGCTTCTTCCAACAATTGGAAAATAATGTTTGATTATATAAATATATGTATTAATTATTTAATCTAAAATTACCTGATCGTTAATAGGAGAAGTACGCTTTTCATTTTACATTTCTATTTATAACTCGTCGATCATGTGGAAATACAGGCAGACGCATTTTGGACGCATCACATCCCTACCCTTGTTGGACATTTGGTGCCCACGTATCCTTCAATAGGCAAGGTAAGACATTGTAGTTTCCTAAATACGTGGCGGAGATTCCAGGTTAGAAAACGCCAGAGAATCAACGCTTGATTTTTGCACCATATTTAGTAAATATACAAACTAATTCCTTGGACTAAAAATAGTATTTTGTTCGAGGCTTTGCTAATAGTTTTGAGATTTTTCAGAAATGAATGTAATTATATAAGAACATTTACAAGAACCTTAGATTAGTGCACGTTTCTGTGAATTTCTTTTTATAATAATGTATTACAGAGTGGCCAAGATAAGGATCAGACTAGGTTAAATTCAGTATTCACACAATCTTACATCAAGCATTTATTTGCAACGCCTACTTAAATAAAATGAAAAAAACACGTTTGTTTATAACGTAAAAAAGCAAATGTAACGTTATACATCGTTGAAGTCGTAGAAAAAGATGCTATTAGATACAGGGTCGTAATTTTTTAAATCGTGTGCACTTCGGGCACATTTTTTTTAACTTAAAAAAAACAAATGTAACGTGATACATCGTTGAAGTCGTAGAAAAAGATGCTATTAGATACAGGGTTGTACCTTTTTAAATGTTGCGCAAATTTAAAAACACAATCATGTAGTGCCTGAGTTTTTTGTACATTTCTCAAAATAAAGGCAGACAAAAATAAAAACGATTTGGCCAAATCTGACCAACCTGTCATAGTATGCAATGCGCGCAATTTATTTAAAAGGCTTAGGATGTCAACGCTAACACACAAGTAGTTGAGTATGCAAGGCTGACCCAGTTTGCAGCACATGTATCCTATTTCTCTCAGAAGAGTTGGAAGTAGAGCTAATTTCCACTTTGGAGACACTTGACACCCACGTCACAGCATTAAAACACCAAAGCAGCACTGAGAGACAATCGAGAACCCTATAGTGAACACGACTACTAAAAAAATAGCTTAACCGAATAGAGCAGTGAACGTGTGGACATTCCGCTACGCCGATGGTTGCCGAGAGACTGATGCGTGTGAGTGCTGTACCTCGCTGCGGCGATACGGTACGGCCGGGTAGTACAGCCACGCCCCTTTGCAGCTCCCACTTCGTGGGTCTGCTCACGGTCAACGTAAACGTAACTGTGTTAGGGTTGACATCCTATGCTTTTTATATAAATTGCGCATTGCATACACTGAGAGATTACTCATATACTGAGGTTTAGGAAAAACAAAAATTTGGACAAATTGCTGCCTGACTTTATTTTAAGAAATGTCAAAAAACTAATAGCACTACATAATGGTGTTTTAAAATGTGCCCGAGGTGCACAATATTTAAAAAAGTACGACCCTTTCTACGACTTCAACGATGTATCACCTTAAACTTGTTTTTTAAGTGACAAACAAACGCGTTTTTTTGTATTTTTTCATTTTATTTAAGTAGGCTTTGCATGTAAGATTGTGTGATTACTGGATTTAACCTGGTTCTTACCTAAAAAATGACTCTCGTATAAACCGTTACTTCAATGCTACTTTTTATAGGTGAATAACTGTGGCACGCTGGCGACTTTCGATTTTACAAATGAATTCAGAATTGTGAAACGACTTGATTTCTCTTCACCTGATACAATTAGTCTTAGCAGTGACGGTTGTGGTTTTCTAGGGGTTTTCCTTGTCCAAGGGCGAATGCAGTCACTAAAAAACCATATTCCCCTGATAAAAAGCAATGAGCATGTTATTTTAGATCAAATAGTTCATAAATATATTTATATAATAAAACACTGATTTTTTCCGAAAAGTATTTTATCCTATAAAACTGGGCATTTATAAAAGTGTTCAGAGACATTAACGTTACGCCGCATAGACGCCAGGCGACGCGGAATGTAAATAACAGCTTTTTTTAGTTTTTTGGCAAACATTGCTACGCCTCAAATTTTATATGTATATCTCCATTGGTATCACTAAATATTTTATCCAAAGCTTCTTTTTTTATAACATTCTAGGAAAATTGTCCGATTAGCTGGCAACGCCGCAATCTAGGTGGCAGGATCGTATGCCTATCCCGGGGTAATGACGGAGTTAGTTAGTACGTCAAAGCGGCAGATTTACAATCTTCATTTGCATTTTTCAAGTGGTTTGCAACGATTTCGAAAAAAATTTCGCTTCGGATAGTCTAGTAGAGTATATTTCAATAGCTGTCTTGCGTGGCCATGTTATCTTTACTCGGACCGTTTAATTAATTACAAACTCTATTCAAAAATGTTTCCACTTTTCAGTTTTTAACTTTTTCAACAATTTTTGTTTACCTTATATCCCAATACTTTTTGTACAAACACAAAACATAAAACGGTTTTCATTGACAGTGACAGTAAATTGACAGTTTCGTAGTCTCATGATGTCTGCTTCCACTAGATGCGCGCTACATCACATACAGGGGCGTTACAAAAGGACCCCTAATTGTAATTTTATGAGGAAAATACCACTTCATATTTATATTTGTTCGTCTCCACAGATATGTTGAGTAGAAGTCAACCCATTCGCTTTGGAGAGAAATAAATTTAGACGATATGTAGCATAAAAATGTTCTAGCGTAATAAAATGTGGTTTACCGTAAAATGAAAGGGAAAATGCAGTATTTGCAGGTTTGAAACTTATAATCAGTATCGACCTCTGGATGTTTAAGCAGGTGTTGGGATGTAAATCTCTTCCGCATATCCTTTTGCAAGAATATATAAAACTACTAGTATATACAACTTGCTGGTAATTGATGTCCTGGAATCAGGGCGTTTTCGAGTTATGGTTATATAGGTTTTTTACATGATAGCTATGCGGGAAGCGTTTCATTTCAGACACTGAAGTGTTCGATGAGGTTGACTGCTTTATCAAGAACCTGGCGGAGATCTGGTATGACATGGATATTAAAAAACCGCAAAATAGAACGAATGTTTAATGATGTATCAGTTATTGCAAGCTAATAATTTTTGTAGTTTTAAAACGACCTTCATATATAGTGTAATTCGACACTTGACCCCAAGCAGCGTTTCCAACCCCATCCGAGAGAAAAACTGTATATGAAAAAACTGTAGGTAGCTGTAGAATATTATTTTAAAAACTATAAATCTACAGCCTTCCATTTACAGTGTTTTTCACGAGTATCCATGGCGATCCAAGGCCAAAAAGTGGCAGTTTTGCATTGCTTAAGCAAATTCTTTTTGAGCGATTGTGGTTTTGATTACCCTGTGATATAAAAGTGACAGAATTTCGATTCAAATTTTTCCATATTCACTGAAGGCCAACCAGAACCACAATCGTTCAAAAAGAATTTGATTTTTGGAGGCCCGAACTGAAAACTTGGAAGATTTTTGAAAACTAAATCTACAGTTAAAACTATAAGGTTGTCAACCCTGTCCCAAATAAAGATTGGGAGCTAGATGGAGTTGAAGTTAAATTCTAACCAATGATAGCGCAGCACGACCACGAATGATGATAGCCGTACCGACGCCATACGCTGCGAAGTAACGCGTACATTAGTTAGTTGTCGGTTGGCGTTCGTGGAGGTTGCTGCGTCGAGACCTCCATGTAACGCTATGCTTCTGTTAGACTCGCTGGTGTCCAGAGAAGCCTTTGTCGGTGATTCCCCGCAGTGTCGTCGCGTCGTGGTGGTGTTTTGAGTGATTTTGTGAAAATATCTTGTGGTGCGAGGCGAGTGGTGTATTTTCACGTTGGATATTGTGTCTTCACCCGATCTTTCTGAGGAAAATGAATGTCTGCAGCAAGCTAGGTACGAGAGATTGTATATAATATATATTTTACTCAAAAAATATTGCCAAGTGTCTAAGTTGAGTTCGCACCCTACCCAACAAGACTCCCAGGGGTATTTTATGATTAGTATATCTTAAAGTATCATTACTTAATTGTTAATAACGCGAGGCGTTGATGCGTATTCCAATGTGCGTATTAACAATTAAATAGCAGTGCTTCAAAATACTCCAAATAGGAGAAGGTCTAATTGAGACTTTGAGTAACATGAGAGAACTTTTTTGGTTTTTCAAATATTTAATCATTTATCACTCGAAAGCGACACTTTTCCAAAAAGACAAAGTGCCCGGGGCGGAAAAATGATTTTTTGTCGTTTGTAATTGTTTACCATCTGATAATCTCATAATTCATTCAAAAGTCGAGTTGAAAAATTTGTCCAACGAAATCATTTTCGCTCTTCGTCTATAGTGAATTTATATACATTACAGCTAGCGCACTATCATGTAAAAAAACCGTACAAGAAAGCGAGATTCGCGGACGTAAATATCGGTTGTATTTGTGTTATGCTTATATCGCATCTCTCGTATAAAAAGTTGTTTACGTTTTTTACTAAGAAATAAATTGTACCTCCATACAAAAGATATTTTTAAGAGGATGAGTTTTGAAGATTTGTCATTACTTGAACTATATTGATGTTGTATCTTTATAAGGGTTTGCATAAAAGTACGAACTAGAGAAAGGGAATTATTTGCCAAAGTTCTGTAGGATGTCTATACAGCGTGTTCGAA